GCCTACACAACTATGTTGTCAGGGTATTATAGCTTTGTGCAGCCCCAAAAGTTTGTAACGCCGCGAAACATTGGTCCTAGACCCACCTTTAAGTCATATCTCGACTAGCTGAGTCGATCTAGACATATGTGTCCGTCCGTCTCTCCATTATAATTTGTAAACACGATACAGGCCACAGTTATGCACCAATCTTCACGATGGGTAGGGTAGCATGTAGGATGGGTTCTGGCCAATGAAGACCCCTATTGTTTTCGGGAAAGATCGGTTAATATTTAGGGGATGAAATAGACCAAATACTAAATTTTTGTTGGTTTTTCTGGTTGCTCGAATCTAGACCACAAATGAAAGCCGAACATCACAACACTACCCACGGTGAAGGGAATCTGGACAATAGGTGTACTGAATACTCGTAATATTCGGAAAATATGTCAGCGTGAGGAAGAGGTGCTGTTTACCTCTAATCGGGCAAGAGGATGCAAATATCACGAAATATTGCCCAGGCTCGGAATAAACATCCGCAGAAAATTTGAGTTCCGTGGTAGTTGTATAGGGTATCGTATGGTCGGCCCCTTCCGATTATACTGCTCCGCTCACTGGTTGGGTATGCATTCCTCTAGCCAAATGGTACTAATCAGCTGGTGCATGCTTCTCTGATCAGCATCTGACCACCGGTCTTGAATAGTTCGGCTGGTAACCCATCGGCACCTGCTGCTTTATTGTTCTTGAGCCGATTAATTGCTTTTATGACCTCATCTTGGCTAGGTGGTATACACTCTATACCATCATCTGTTATTGGTTCTGGTGTATCTTCTTTCAGAAGCTTTTTAAAATGCTCCTTCCAGATTCTCAAAACGCTATCTGTGTCTGTTACCAGATTTCAATCATCATTTCTACAGGAGAATGTGCTTGCACCAAAACCTTCGGTTTGGTCTTTTGCTCGTTGGTAAAATTTTCGGACTTTATTCTGACTTCTCCTGTACATCTCGATTTGCTCCCGTTTACGTTTTTGTGCTTGTTCTTTCTTCTTTTTTTTCTGAAAATATGTTTGTCTTCTCTCCTTTTCTCTCGATAGTTCTCTCTTTCTCTTTCGCATTATGTGTCGCTAATGCCTGTAGGGTTGCCCTATACCAGGCACAGGCAGAGCGTAAAAAATACTGTTCTCACGCACTTGTCTTTGTGTGTGTGTCAATGGTTTTTCAATTGGTTCAGTTAAATGTGTGTGAGAGAATAGTGATACTTACTCTCGCGAGAGTGCACGCGTGCGGTGGTTCCCCCGACTGTGCCCTATACGCTGTGTTATTTCACCTTGTAGCATTACGACCCTCCAGATCGTACCATGGGTTTCTTGGAGGTGGTCTTTGGTACCCAATTGTTGTTTTTGCTGTAGTTTTCAGGGAGTGGGAGATTTTTTTGCCGTCGTTCTTCTATATTAATATCAGGCCAAGAAGTGCTTCCGTCTAGCGGGTGGGTAAGTTGAGCGAAGTATCTGTTGTGTTTGCAACCCAGTTTCCGTGTTGTGTTAGATCGTACCTTTGCTGCCGCATTAAGACGAGTGCGAACTTTGGCTACTACAAGGTAGTGGTTCGAATCGATATTCGCGATCGAAGGTGTAAAACACTGCATGAATACCTTCCGTCTATCACAACATGGTTGATTTGATTTCTCGTTGTTCGCTCGGGAGAAAGCCAGGTGGCCTTGTGTATATCGATGCTGCCAATTACCATGTTTTTTTGCTGTCGCGAAGTAAATCAACCTCATGCTGTTGTCGGTAGTTTTTTCATGGAGGCTGAATTTTCCGACGGCGGGGCCAAAAATATTTCCCCCATTCGAATTTTGTATTAAAATCTCCTAGCAGAATTTTAATGTCATGGCCATGGCAGTGGTCATATGTTGTTCCTAGGGCTCGTAATTATCATTGATCTGCTCATCTTTGTCTTCGGCCCGAGCATGGTTGCAAATGAGACAGATGTAGAGGAACATGGCAGCGGTCATATGTTGTTTCTAGGGCTCGTAAATATCTTTGATCTGCTCATCTTTGTCTTCGATCGGAGCATGGTTGCAAATGAGACTGATGTAGAGGAACTTCGCTTTTATACGGATTATAGCAATTCCCTCTTCTACTGCAGTGAATCGGGATACGAGGTTTTTTATTCTTCTCAACATTTGGAGGTTTGGGTTTCGTTTTCTTTGATCGATCTACTATTTCATTACAGCAATTAAAGCTGTAAATTAAATTTATCCCCAAAAACTATTTAAGTAAAAACCAGTGAGCGGAGCAGTATAGTCGGACGGGGCCGACCATACGATACCCTACACAACTACCACGGAACTCAAACTTTCTTTGGATGTTTATTCCGAGCCTGGGCAATATTTCGTGATATTTGCACCCTCTTGCCCGATTAGAGGTAAACAACACCTCTTCCTTACACTGATATATTTTCCGAATATTACGAGTATTCAGTACAGCATTTGTTGTCTATATATCGACTCGGAAATAACACAAAAAATTAAGTTTTCGGTCCTCTTCATTCCAAAATTATTATCTGATCATCACCGAAAATTATAGGCGTTGTCCTTGACCATAACTGGAACCTCATGGAACATTTCAAAGCGATCAGCGCTATATTCCCGCTCTCTAGAGTAATAACGGGTTACTAAATAATACACGAATACAGAGTTACCTGCAAACATTTAGGTGTAACTCCCACATCCGTGCAGATACAACAATATAATTGGTATCAATTTAAAAGTCAACCACTCCTCTTGGATATAATATCAACTCCTTCAGGATTCTATGTCCTTCAGGGGTAAAAATATACGCTATAGAATACAAATTTTGTAATTTTTCACACGAAAGTCAGGGTCCTTTTGACCCGCTATATATTGACCGATCTTTATAAAAACAGTCATGCTTGTTCTTTAGCGCGATCCCCAACTCCATGTAAAAATTCGAGATGCGGTCTCTGGAGCGACCAGAAAAACCGACAAAAATTAAGTATTTGGTCCATTTCATCCCCTAAATATTAACCGATCTTTACCAAAAACAATAGGGGTCTTCATTGGCCAGAACCAATCCTACATGCAAAATTTCGTGAAGATTGGTCCATAACTGTGGCCTGTATTGTGTTTATAACTTATATCGACTCAGCTAGTTGAGATATGACGTTCGGTATGCTTAAAGGTGGGTCTACGACCAATATTTCGCGGCGTTACAAACTCCTTGGGCTGCACAAAGCTACACTGCGTATCATAACTATAGACGCACCTTTAATTCAATTGGTATGTTAGTTGACAAATAAAATGGACCCATTAGCTTATTGTTCACAGTAAAACGATCAAAAACACATATTATTCAACAAAAATAATTAATTTATTCTTTATGGTTTCGCCGAATTCTGCCCTTTCAAAATTGCTGGTGTTGCATAACTATAGACGCACTTTTAAAAAATTAGAAAAATTTATTTTTTAAAACTTAAATAAAATAAAATCACTTTTATAATTAATGGGTAGGGCCTCCCTTATTTTGAATAAGTTCAAAAATTTTATCCATCACACTGTTGATCAAAAGTATTCGCAAGTCTTCATCGATTGACCGCCATTCATCGATAATCACTTCTTGGAGGTAAAATACAGTTTGGTATTGGAGGTTTTCTGCATAGACACGATGAGTCAAGATTCCACGCATGTTCTCGATCGGATTCTGGTCGGAAATTTTAATATTTTTCGATTTTAACCATACTTGAGTATGGCGACTTTTATGAACTGGTGCGTTGTCCAGCTAAAAAACGTGTCCTTGATTGTTGCTGCTTTCCCAAAATGGCAATAATTTGTCTTCCAAGACTTGAACGTACTCCATTGAATTCATCCGACAACATGGAAATGTCAAATAAAGCATTCCGTGGCTATAAAATGCTCCCAAGGTGGCGGTTGCCGAAATATCGTTATTTCTTAATACGATATTTCGTTGGCGGTTCCTTAATGGCCTTGGGAGCATTTTATAGCCACGGAATGCTTTATTTGACATTTCCATGTTGTCGGATGAAGTACGTTCAAGTCTTGGAAGACAAATTATTGCAATTTTGGGAAAGCAGCAACAATCAAGGACTCGTTTTTTAGCAGGGCAACGCACAAGTTCATAAAAGTCGCCATACTCAAGTATGGTTAAAATTGAAAAATATTAAAATTTCCGACCAGAATCCAATCGAGAACATGTGTGGAATCTTGACTCATCGTGTCTATGCAGAAAACCTCCAATACCAAACTGTATTTTACCTCCAAGAAGTGATTATCGATGAATGGCGGTCAATCGATGAAGACTTGCGAATACTTTTGATCAACAGTGTGATGGATAAAATTTTTGAACTTATTCAAAATAAGGGAGGCCCTACCCATTAATTATAAAAGTTATTTTATTTTATTTAAGTTTTAAAAAATAATTTTTTCTAATTTTGTAAAAGTGCGTCTATAGTTATGCAACACCAGCAATTTTGAAAGTGCAGAATTCGGCGAAACCATAAAGAATAAATTAATTATTTTTGTTGAATAATATGTGTTTTTGATCGTTTTATTGTGAACAATAAGTTAATGGGTCCATTTTATTTGTCAACTAACATACCAATTGAATTAAAGGTGCGTCTATAGTTATGATACGCAGTGTATAATACCCTGACAACATAGTTGTGTAAGGTATAAATATAGTTTCATTCCAATCAGCAAACCACAATTATATTCACTTTTTAATATTCGTTGTCAGGACCAACGATTTTATTTATCTTTTTTGTTTTTTGGTTACAACAGACTACAAATTGATTTCAAATGACAAGGGACGACAGGATGGAAGGATATCCATCGAAACAATAAAAAAAACTGAGATCCTTTAGTCGTCAATACACTTATCAAATAAATATTCTGTTTATATCCAAATGTTATTGTTGTTGTCACTTTGCTATAAACATTCGTTTAATTCTAACATTGTTGTTATTGTTTTACTCTCATTCCAGATGGTGATCCCATTAAACTACCAGACAATTTGGAAAGCTTGCCAAGAGCTGACAGTTTCCCGTCACAACGTCATCGTTGGAATACAAATGAGGTCAGTTTGATTTGTGAAAATAGACGAAAAAAATTTTATTTGCATTTGAAAAAACACTAACATCTAAATAAGGACCCTCTCTCACACACACAAACTAGTATCCTGTGTGTAAAAGCGATAAACTTAACATCTCGCAGAATCCAACACAAAAACAGTAAAAAAAGCTAAGCCATCAGAAAGGACATTTTCTGAATTGCATTTAAATATCCATCCATCATCTTCATCGTTTATTCAAGCATTCGTTCGTTTGTTTGTTTATTGTCATTTTGTTGTTGTTCGTGTTGTCCGTGTTGTTGCTATTTTTGCATTTACATTTCATGGACTGTTTGTGTTTATCTTTTAACGGGTGTTTGCTGCCACAACAGCAACAACAACAACTACATCGTGAACTTTCCTCTTTTTGGCAAACACTGTAATGTCTTTATCCGTAACAACATTTTTTTTTTTTTTGAGAATGTTGTAACCTTTTCCGAATCTGTTTTTTTCATGGGATATTTGTGGTGGTCCTTCTTCAAGATGGTTTTTTAGATGTCTTTTTTATGCGAGTGTTAGTTTTTTTCCTGGCTGCTCCTTGACTTCTTGATGGCATTGAGCATGACATCGCCACGGTGTGATATGTAGTAGTGGATTGTAGCCAAAAACTGAAAAAAAAAATGGAAACTGAAAACGTTTTCGAAATCTGAAGTTTGAGTTGACATTAAACATCTTTAATATGCCTGGAAGTTTAAAGTTGATTCCTGAGTCATGAATGATGAATAGTTGAGAGTATTTGAAATGTAAATGTTTTTCTGACAAGCAGTTGTCATAAGAATTATGGTAAATGGATTTTGAAAATGATATTTCAATTTGGAAGAAGAGGAAGATTTTGTAAATACATTTTTTCCAAGGACCAGAATGGTGTAAATTTTTTTTTAAATATTTTTTTCCGAAGACCAACAAAGCGTAGATTTTTAAAATAATTTAAATAATTTTTCCCAAACATCAAAAGGGCGTAGATTTTTAAAATAATTTTTCCGAAGACCAACATAGCATAGATTTTTAAAATAATCTTTTTCCGAAACCGAGAAGGCATGTAGATAAAATAATCCGTTTCCAAGGCTACAAGGCGTGGATTTTTAAAAGATGTTTTTTCCAAGACAACAAGGACTTAATTTTAAAAATAATTTTTTTTTCGGAAGACCAACAAGGCGTAGATTTTTTATTTTTTTTTTTCGGAAGACCAACAGACATATATTTTTATTTTATTTGGTAGTCTTTGAAGAAATTACATTTGAAAAATCCACGCCTTGATGGTCCTTGAAAAAATTATATTTTTAAAAAATCTACGCCTTGATGGTCCTTGAAAAAATTATATTTTTAAAAAATCCACGCCTTGATGGTCCTTGAAAAAATTATATTTTTAAAAAATCCACGCCTTGATGGTCCTTGAAAAAATTATATTTTTAAAAAATCCACGCCTTGATGGTCCTTGAAAAAATTATATTTTTAAAAAATCCACGCCTTGATGGTCCTTGAAAAAATTATATTTTTAAAAAATCCACGCCTTGATGGTCCTTGAAAAAATTATATTTTTAAAAAATCCACGCCTTGATGGTCCTTGAAAAAATTATATTTTTAAAAAATCCACGCCTTGATGGTCCTTGAAAAAATTATATTTTTAAAAAATCCTTGATGGTCCTTGAAAAAATTATATTTTTAAAAAATCCACGCCTTGATGGTCCTTGAAAAAATTATATTTTTAAAAAATCCACGCCTTGATGGTCCTTGAAAAAATTATATTTTTAAAAAATCCACCCTTGATGGTCCTTGAAAAAATTATATTTTTAAAAAATCCACGCCTTGATGGTCCTTGAAAAAATTATATTTTTAAAAAATCCACGCCTTGATGGTCCTTGAAAAAATTATATTTTTAAAAAATCCACGCCTTGATGGTCCTTGAAAAAATTATATTTTTAAAAAATCTACGCCTTGATGGTCCTTGAAAAAATTATATTTTTAAAAAATCCACGCCTTGATGGTCCTTGAAAAAATTATATTTTTAAAAAATCCACGCCTTGATGGTCCTTGAAAAAATTATATTTTTAAAAAATCCACGCCTTGATGGTCCTTGAAAAAATTATATTTTTAAAAAATCCACGCCTTGATGGTCCTTGAAAAAATTATATTTTTAAAAAATCTACGCCTTGATGGTCCTTGAAAAAATTATATTTTTAAAAAATCCACGCCTTGATGGTCCTTGAAAAAATTATATTTTTAAAAAATCCACGCCTTGATGGTCCTTGAAAAAATTATATTTTTAAAAAATCTACGCCTTGATGGTCCTTGAAAAAATTATATTTTTAAAAAATCCACGCCTTGATGGTCCTTGAAAAAATTATATTTTTAAAAAATCCACGCCTTGATGGTCCTTGAAAAAATTATATTTTTAAAAAATCCACGCCTTGATGGTCTATGAAAAAATTACATTTGAAAAATCCACGCCTTGATGGTCCTTGAAAAAATTATATTTTTAAAAAATCCACGCCTTGATGGTCCTTGAAAAAAATATATTTGAAAAATCCACGCCTTGGTGGTCCTTGAAAAAGTATATTTGAAAAATCCACGCCTTGGTGATCCTTAAAAAAATAATATTTGAAAAATCCACGCCTTGGTGGTCCCTGAAAAAATTATCTAAATTTGAAAAATCCACGCCTTTGTGGTCTTTGAAAAAAATTATATTTAAAAAATACACGCCTTGGTGGTCCATGAAAAATACACTCCTTGGTGGTCCCTGGCAAAATTATCTAAATTTGAAAAATCCACGCCTTGGTGGTCCTTGAAAATATGACCGACTAGAAGTCAAGAAATATTAGTAATATTCAGTACAGCGCTTCTAATTAATTGGCCAGATTCACTTCACTGAGGGTTGTGTTGTAATGTTCGGCTTTCAATTGTGGCCTATAGATCAAATCGAAAAACACACAAAAAATTAGGTTTTCGGCCCACTTCATCCGAATATTATTATCTGATCATCACCGAAAATTATAGGCGTTGTCCTTGACGATACCTGGATCCTCATGGAAAATACCTGGATCCTCATGTCCTTCAGGAGTAAATATATACGCCATAGAATACAAAATTTTCACACAAAAGTCAGAGTCCATTTGACCCGCTAAATATTGACCAATATTTATCAAAACAGCCATGCTTATTCTTTGGCCCGATCCCCTTCTCCATGTAAAAATTCCCTATGTTTGGGCCATAATTGCAACCTCCGGAGCGACCCGAAAATCAGACAAAAGTAAGTTTTTGGTCCATTCCCTAAATATTAACCGATGTTTACCAAAAACAATAGGGGTCTTCATTGGCCAGAATCTATCCTACTTTCAAAATTTCGTGCCGATTGGACCATAACTGCGAACTGTATCGTGTTTACAAATTCTAATGGATGGATGGACGGACGGACACACATATCTATATCGACTCAGCTTGTCGAGATATGAAGATCGGTATACTTAAAGGTGGGTCTAGGACCAATATTTCCCGGCGTTACAAACTTTTTGGGCTGCACATGGCTATAATACCCTGACAACATAGTTGTGTAGGGTATAAAAATGTAGCTTTTAGCCTTTCCGACCAACAACCTAATAAAATATTTTTCTTTCCGATAAATATTCGCCGCGTTCTATTGCTAAACAAATAACCGCATAAAAGTTTACAACTTTGACATTTTTTCCAAAACTCCTAATTTTGTTCCCATGTCCTCAAAAACAGTGAGGTGCTTCTTCAATCCATTCGAATCGTGACATTTTCAACGCTTAGCCAATCTAGCATAACAAAGAAGTAACTCTCCGAACTATTGTCATTGTGTTGTTAATTAATTAAAAGCAATAAAAAACACAAATTTTTGTTTTAATTGTCAACTTTTGGTCCAGTGAATATTTGTTCTCCTTGTTCGAAGTTTTGTCCATGTTACGAATCTCATTGTAACAACGCGAATTTGCGCAAATTATTTACATAAAACGTTTTTGTTGTTGTTTTTATTGTTGTTGTTGTTGGACAACTATAACTTTTAATATTAACCTTTGTGGTGACTCTTTTGTTACGCTTCTTTATGGTTCAGTCCATTTCTCTCGTCCCTTTAAGGCATTTAAATTCCAAAAATTAAAACTATGTGGTTAGCCACACCACACACACACAAACACAGTGACATATGGTTTGGTTAAAGGCGTGTGTGTGTGCGTGTTGGCTGTTGTGTTCAACCAAATTGCCGGTAAAAATGTATCTCGCATTTAACCCCTGGCGAATATCTCCAGAATGGATGTGGACACACTAACAAATGGTGGCTACTGATGCTGAGTCAGTGGACAGACACACACACACATTTATTGTGGTCTTGTATGGACCGTTCTACTATGGACCAGTGCGATTCCTCGCTGCAGGACACCATCGAAGTTTTCAGAGTGAGAAATGATTTTTGCTGCCACGCAGTTGTCGTTGATGCTGTTGTTTGTTACATGACCAAAATAAACGTGCGTAATTTTATTTATGTAACAATATTTGGTGGTAAAATTACATTCATTCATTTCGACCAGAAAACGAAATACCTTGCCTGCTTGCTGCCTTGGTCAATGATATTTAACCAGATGAACTAGTCAGGGGACAGAAGACAGTGGTTTGGGACTTTTAAAACAATAATTTAAAATATAAATTTTTGAAATTTGTTATCCAAGGATCAACGAGGCGTAGATTTTTTAAATTATTTTTCCAACGATCCGCAAGGCTTAGATTTTTTTCAATATAATTTTTCCAACAAGGCGGTCATTTGGAAAACATTGGATTTTTTAATTAAATTTTTTTAAGGACTAAGGACGGAGATTTTTGAAATGAACTTTTTCCAAGCACCAAGAATTTGTAGACTTTCAAATAATTTTTTCTAAGCACCAAAAAGGCGTAGATTTTTCAAATCATTTTTTTCCAAGGACCAACAAGGCGTTGATATCCAAAGACCAAGAAGTCGT